CATGCTTTTCTTTGGTTTATCAAATATCATATGGCGATATGCATCTGGGTTCATCTGTAGGTTTTCTATCCTTTTTTTTTTTTTTTTTAAAGATAGAGTCTCATGTTCTTGCCTCTTGCATCTGGTAGAGTGTCTTGGTGTCATAGCTCACAGCAACCTCAAGCTTTTAAGCTCAAGCAATCCTCTTGCCTCAGCCTCCCAAGTAGCTGGGACCGTAAGTGTCCATCACAACACCTGGCTATTTTGTAGAGCTGTGATCTCACTCTTGCTCAGGCTGGTCTCAACCTTGTGAGCTCAAGTGATCCACCCACCTTGGCCTCCCAAAGTGCTAGGATTATAGGCATGGGCCACTTCACTGAGCTAGGTTTTCTATTCCATTCCATAGATCTACATTTCTATTTTTGTACCAGCACCATGCTGTTTTTGATCACTATACACTTGTAGTATAAACTGAAGTCTCCAGATTTGCAGATTTGTTTTTATTTCTTAAAATTGTATTGGCTATGAAAGTTTTTTTCTGATTCCATATGAAATTAAGTACTGTTTTTTTCATTTCTTCAAAGTATGATGTTGGTGCTTTGATGGGGATAAAATGGGACATGATTAAGCTAAAAAGCTTCTGTACAGCTAAGGGTATCACAAATAAAGCAAACAGCCTTTAGAATGGGAGAAGATATTTTCATGCTGTGAATCCAACAAAAGTCTGATAACTAGAACTACAGAGAACTCTGGTTAATCAACAAGGAAAGAACCAACAATCCTATTTTTAAGTGGGGAAGAGACTTGAGCAGAAACTTCTCCAAAGATGACAGATAAATGGCCAACAAACACAAGAATCAGAGCATGCAAATCATCAGAGAAATGCAACTGAAAACCACTCTGAGCTGCCACCTAACTCCAGTGAGATTAGCCCACATCATGAAGTCCTGAATCTGCAGATGCAGGCGGGGTGTGGAGAGAAGGGAACACTTTTGCACTGCTGGTGGGATTGCAAACTAACAAAACCTTTACGAAAAGAAGTATGGAGAATTCTCAAAGAACTAAAAGTTGATCTTTCATTTGATTTTGTAATACTATTACTAGGTATCTACCCAGAAAGAAAAAAAAAATCATTTTATCATAAGGATATTTGCACCAGAAAGTTTATTGCAGCTCAATTCACAATTGCCAAGGCATGGAAGCAACTCAAGTGCCCATCGACCCATGAATG